GAATATTTGATGTCCCAGGAGCGGCCGTGTCGATCTTGGACCGACGAATGTCCTCGGCTAGTCGTTTCGAACTTCCGTCCTGAGGTATTCCCAAGGAAAGTTTTGCTGAACGTCAAGCTTTCCGCTTTCTGCGGTTCCAACCTTTCCTTCTGCCAGTCTCTGGAGAACTTTTGTGCTGCGCGATGTAAGTATGTTTACACGGTGCATCATTTATGTACAATCGGCAAGTAACAGGAAGTGTTTGGACAGACGGTCTGGTCGACTTTCTTGCAAAGCTTTTTTATTTTTTTTTTATTTTTAGCAATGAGTAGAGAAATGGTTGATTAGCATCGTCCTACCGTCTCAGTCCATTCCTCATTTGACGTTCCTGAGAGCGAAGGCCCTCTCACCGACAGAACACATAGAAACGTGGTGTTACCGACATAAAGTGATTTTATGGCAAGATGGAGTGAGCGGAAAAATTTTCAAAAAAACCGCAAACCTGATATAAGGTCGACGATCTTAGATTTTAATCAGACGGACCATGGAGAGAGCCACGATTTTAATTTAATTCCGAATTTCATATTATTTTTCTAATATATGAATCCTTTTCATCTAAAAATTATACATTTACCTTTAGATTAATATCTTCGTATATATTTACAAGTTCGGATCTCGATTTGGATGTTTTATATACTCGAAACGAAAGATTGAAAGCTTGATAAAATTTAAACCTATGAACGAAGCGAATAAAAATTTCATCAATCAATACACACGGTATCCCTGGTATTAAATAACCGTACCATCCACGCTGATAAATTTTCAAAAACCAATAACCTCGATGAATAAAAAGAAAAAACATGCAATTTTTACAATATTGGACATTCGTGGCTAACCGTATTATCTTTATGCATATTAAACAGGGATGGGGCTAAATCTTCTTGAGAAAATAATATTAAGATAAAGAATAAAATTTTCTATTTTTTTTCTCAAGAGGAATTAGACTGTTCAAAGGAAACACCCTGTATGATTGAACTGCATCGACATTTCGAACAAACAACCATACAATGGAGCTAATCCAATGAACCATGTCTGAACGGAAATGCCGTCGTATTTTTCCGGCGAGTGTCCCACAGCGACGGGTATCGTCTTTGTGTCGATGGCAAGAGATCGGAAGTGAGGTCGACGCAGCGTCGCTCGTCGTCTGCGACAGCTTTTCCGAAGGCATGCTGGATCGTTCGCTGGCTTGCTATAGTAGATCCACTACCTACTGTTGCCTGTTTACGTTACGCGTTAAACCCCTTGCGTCGAGCATTAAACCCGACCCCGTCGAAGCCGCACATCGCCGGCTAAAGCCCCATAAGCATCGTTACGCCGCGTTACATCCCCCTGCCCATCGATGCCAAAATTACTGATACCTATACACGCACGCGCAGCACACGGCTGACCGGTGGAAATTTATCTGTATCGCGTTCGCGCGAACCACTCGTTTCCGGTCGAAGGCCACGACGTTAACTGACCCCTTGGGAATCCATGGAAACGAACCGACTTCCGTTCGGCGACTTTTAATTGGACGCTCGATTAATTGACACCGTTTGCAGCTTTTTGGTATTTAGTGCAACTATGCAAAAAATTGTTTTAATCATAGATTCTGATTCAAAATATTGTTTCAATAATCAATAAAAAAGAAATTCGACTTGTTGACACCACGAAATACCCACCCCTTTAATATTATTCTATAGTAACCCAAGAATGGTAATGAGGGTACGAGACTCATAAGAAATATGTTTATGGATCGTTTATGATTGAGCTACATCCCTAGACTACTAAAAACGAGCTTCACCCTTACTCAAGAAAAATAAATTCATGCAAAAATTCAAAGTACCTAAAACCAACCCTCTCCGAAAGATTTCTCCATGTTTCTCAAGATGCACACCCTCCTTCGTTCTAAGAATTTCCCCGAATTCTTCTTCGTTACTCAAGATTGAAAGCATCTACCTTAGAAAATTTCGCATCAAAAGTGACTGCTCTTTAAACGAAAACCGAGCGAACGTTTGATTCGCGTGTATTTTGCACGCTTTCCTTTCTCGTCCGTGCAAATTCTCCGTGCGCATACGGCCAGGTGGAAATATATATATATGCAGATGCACATGTAAACGAGAAACCCGCCACGGGGAGCTTTACATATGGCAAGGGATTACGATACTGTATAGCCAAGATACGACGGTGGAACGCTTAGATAGCTCACCTTCCCTTCTTCCCTTTATCCGCGGGATTCATCTCTACGCTTTGCGCCCGCCACCAAGCAACCACCCTTTCTTTCGACCCTCTCGATTTCGGTACACCTTTCCGCACGACAGCACCTTCCATCGCTTAACTCTTCTTCTCACCTTCGACCTACCAGGCCGCAACTTCCCTCTCGACCTCTCTTAACCTGGTTTTAGAGACAGACGGTTAATTCGCGGCACGCCGGTAATTCAGGGAAGCTCCGACGAAGCCGGGAATGGTAAGTAGCTGTCGTCGAGTAATACGGAAGCTACCGAACAGCATGTGGTTTCGTTGCCTCCTTGAAATTCACCCGTGATTCTCTGACGTTCGGGAACGAGGTTATCGACGCGTTAAAAGCTTCTTTGTCAATTTCATTTGCAGGGAAATACGTAATAGGAGCGAGAAACCGAAAATATCGGGTCGGGTTGGACCGGAATTGTTTAGGTCGGAATTGTCTGATTCGGATCGAGACGGGTTAGAATCGTTCGGGTCGGGTACTTTCCATGAGATACTCGAGTCTCGGGTAGACGAAAATTAACGCGTTAAATGAATAACGTGTAATATTTAAAGTACTCCATAATTGAAATTTTTCGTTTATTATCTTAAAAAATTAATGATAATTAAAATTCGTGTACAAATTAAAAATTTTGTAAATAGAAGGATGGTAATATTTGTAGAGTATTTTTAAGAAACCTTTGAATAGAGAGGTTAAAAGAAAAGTTAACCGGGGCATATTCATTACACGAGGGAAGCCCACCACGATTCATATGGGGTTAAGCGTAACGAGGAAAGGAAATCCCATATGTCGAGAAATCCCATCGAGTTACCCTCTTTCCACGTATATTAACTCCAAAATTGAAGGGGCTGAAAAGACAAGCCCTTGATAAGATTTTGATCTTTCTAATCCTTTTCATTGTACTTTCATGACTCTTTCATGAGTCATTTATCTCCGTCATACTTTCGTTATATTCAGTATCAACCCCCTAATGCAGAAATTAGAACGATGAAACTTTTTCACCATGCAGATGAGTTTTAAAATTAAATCAAGCCTCAATTCAAAGTTGGGTTATCACGTATGATTATGAAAAACCAATTAATTTAATAATACACAAGCATACTAACTTGAAGTGAAATGTATAATTTTTAAACGAAAGAGTTTAAAATTATTAAGAAACAACAGTGTCAAATTTAGGAAATGAAAATAATACGAAATACAGAATGAAATTAAAATTGGGGCTCTCTCTATGGTCCGCCGTGAGAGAATTAAGTTTTTATATTATCTATAGCATAATAGACTGGACATGGGAAAGTTTCAGTGCATTATTTGAAATATTACCTGTTCTATGGATTTAGTTTAATAACGCTAAGGTATTTATGCACGACAAGAAAAAATGGAGAAGATGTATCTTGGGTATACATTAAAGCTGACATTGATGTACGAGTGAGGGTACAGAAGGGTTATAAAAAGATTCGGTGGACATGACATTAGCGGAGATAGGAGATTCTCGGTAACAAAACACAAGGAACATAATGGGAATTTCACGTCGGACGCGTTAATTAACTCGTTAAAAGCGACGATGGACAAGAATCAAACTTAATCAGCGAGATACCGTTTAACTAAAACAAATTACAATGAATTTTTATGCGACAGACATTTCCAGCAAAGTTCTTCAATTTTATTAAAGTTGGAGCTGATTGGCATTCATCTAACTTAATTAAAACTTTAATTAGTCGATCAAACTCACTTCTTTCCAATGCTGACTCCTGTTGAATTATCTATAATTTTTCTCTTTACACCCTACACATACAGGGGTTGGACAAAATGATAGTCCAGCACATTTGAAAAAGTGCTGTATTCAAATTTAAAAATAAAACTTATTCTGTGCATTACAAGAAACATTTTTTAATCAAATGAAAATTTTTATAGTCTTTCTTCTTTTCACGCGAATATATTCGAAACTATTAAAATTAGCTTTATATCGTAACAAAGATAATTGTAGCTTAAGAATTGAAGAGATTGATTCAAACTGTTACGGAAATATTGATTTTTTAATAAAATTACAATGAAGTTGGACAAAATTTAGAAAATTCTTTATTAATATCGCGCAGAACCGTCATTGGTTTTTAATATGGTCTTAATTCTCCTGGGAATAGAAATAATAATAAAAAGAAGAAAAATTAGATGCAGCACTTTTAAAATTATTTTATCCAACCCCTATGAAAGGATGAAGAAAAATTGTAAAATTCCTTCGAAATTCGAATGTTTATCTTTCGAATCAAAGATGTTTCTTATGGACTCGCAAAGTATCGAGGAAAGGAGCAGACAGAAAAGTTTCGCAAGAGATTTCCCGAGGACGGTCGAGCGGAAGTTTCGTCCAACTTCGTCGCAACGAGAGTTTCCCCAAAGCGTCGCGCGATCGCGGTTACGTTTTCTCTTCTTTTTACCGTCACACGATTTCGGGAGCTTTCCGGGCAAAGTCATTCGAAAATCAGCCGCAACCGCTGGAACGCGTCGCCGCCAAACTCTCGCGGTTTCCCCATCGCCCCTCTGTCTTCTTTCTCTTCGGCCGCAGCCTCGCGCACCCTTAACCGTGGATTAAAGTATCGACGACAGCAGCCGCGTCTGAATAATTCAGCGGCAAAGTTTCGACCGCAACCGATGGGAAAGCTCTTCATACTTCGACGGGAATCCCGTCTCTTTGCCGGCTGGGAGACAGCATTTGAAAACGATGGAAATTTGCTTTGTGTTACAGGATTCGCGCTGATGAGGATCGTCGAGGTCTACAAGGAGATCCAGGAGCAGGAGATGAATATCGTGAGTACCTTTTCACACCTCCTTCTTTTTTTTTCAAGCTTATTCTAGCTGATATTCCATAAGGTAACGAGGGTCTTTCATTTCTTATGCGAAATTCTAGAAAAATTTGTGGCGTTTTCAATAATAATTCAATAAGGTAATTTCGGGAGAAATGGATCATTTTCCTAACTTTTGAATCACCCGTTAGATTTCACAAACGTAGCCTTATTTTAATTCTATATAGTTTCTGTTGTTTGTTGTTTACAGAAAACATAAGTGTTTTATCCTTTTATTTTTACCCACAATTTCTGGGGCAGTTGGATTATTATTACAATTATTAACACGTTTCTTTTTTAAAAATCTATTATAATTTCAATATTATTGAATTCAATATTACTTCATTAGCAAAACTCATTTTTTTGCAATTGAACGGCGGACCATGGAGACAGCCACAACTCTTTCATTTAAAAATCATACATTTGATTTTAGAATAATATCCTTATACACGTTTTGTATATTTGTGTCTCGACTGATTCAGACTCCGCTATTCGAGGGTTAAAGATCCATCTCTCCCAAAATTATCTTATTTCTTTCTTTCTTGAAACAATTATAGAAAAACAAGCCCAATTTCTAAAGATATCGCGTAGACCTCTTTCGATCAATTATTTACAGTTACTTGTCGCTCCACTCAGGGCGCGATAAATCTTGCACTCTATAAGACACGGTAGTTCTACACCACCCTATCCATGTAGATTTCCCTCGATAAATTGCATCGTGTTTCGTAGCAAGGTCTGAAAATCAAATCTTGAATACTTTATGAGAACGATCCACGAAGGGATAGGCATTCGTAACGAGCTTCTGGTGATAACGCGTATCTTGAGGAAGAATAAATCCTGTAACCCGGACGGACCGTTTGAATTATTTAAATAAAAGGCCACGACTGACGCAATTAAAAGTGGCGAAGATTTATGCGGGACGCGCGCGAGAGAACGAAATACCACGGGTGTGAATTCGTGACCGAGGGAGGCGAACTTCCAACCCCGTTGGAATATTAATTGGAAAGTTAAAAGAGAGTTTTCGTCATTTACTCCAGCCGTCTCTTTTCATTCTTGTTTTTACTTGTCTAATCATCTACTTTGTTCTCCTTTTATCCGGATCTTTCTTTCGACCCTGTCTTCCCTCGTTCGTCCTGTTTCTTCGTCTCTTGTTTTACCCGACATCCAGGAACGTATGGAAATCTCTTTGATCCTTGCACGAGGCTGGCTCGCCTCAGGGGTGAGATTACACACCTGCAGACGTCTCTTTTGAGGGTGAAAATTCGTTTCAGCTATAACGACATATTATTACAATTTCGCCCCGCGGACACTGATACCGGTTGCTGTGTTTTCAAAATCACGTCCCACGAGAGACCCTCGTCTGTCGACGAGCTGAGATCAAACGAGATAGAATTTAAGAGACATATGTTACGTATTCAGTAATATTTTTTGCTCCTTTAAAATAGCAAATGATAATCAAACGTTACGTTGCTTTAAACAGACTATTTTCTATTTTCATGACGAGTTTTAGAACTTTTCAATAGTTTTTAAGCTTTTTCGTTTATAATTTTTTGTTTCAACATAAACAAACACTATACATTAAGACGAACAACTTTCGTTTATAAAGATTTTGGATATCTTTTACGGTTTCGGAGCAAAAGGAAAAAAACGAAATTTTGAGGGCGATTTTCACCCCCTTAGGCTGAAAACGGGCAGTAAAAAAAAATTGCTTTTTAATCAGGGAGCACTAATTAATCGGGATCGTTCCTTGTTAGTGTGTGATATAAAAATTTCACAAGATTTCATATTTGCCACGTATTTATTCAAAATCTTGTGTGCTGGGATTTAACCCTTGGTCAATCGTGACTGAAAATTTCCAATTTTCCAAAATTAAAATCCTACCTAAATTCGAAGTATATTATACGTCATAAAATCATGTCCCATTCGTATTTTAAAGTTAACTTGATAAAAATCTCGCTGAAACTCTGAAGAAAGTTCCCTCGAACCATCCCTGTTTTAAACAGCGTTTAAAATTCACCCAGTTCCTTCCGCGTTCGCTTTAAAACGCATTTTCCGTGCCGTAATCCTGTTTTCTTTTATGGAGAATATTCCCAACAATGATCCCGTCCATTATGAGCGATCTTACGATTCCCGTCGGGATCGTTTACTCGCGAACGTTAAAGTCTCGAAGATCGAGCTCTTTTGAAAGAACAATGTTCCCAGCAATAACCGGCCGTCGTTATTGCGCGAGTGATCTCGCGGAAATGCGGCCACCGCATCCAACCGGCTCTTCGTTCGTGTGTACTTTGTCCGCAATAGGCGGAAACCGCACGAAAGTGAACAACAAACCGACTCCCGGCGTGCACGGATTCGCCCCAACTAATTGTTTCTTACGTGAGCGTGGTCGATAACTTTCGGTAACGGCGTCTACGAAGTAATCGTTTCCCACCCCCTCGCTGTATTTTTCGAACTAGTCGTATTATAACTCTCCACCGACAAAACGATCTTGGTCCTGGGTGATATCGGGTGATTTAAAGTCATTGGAAAGAGATTCTATCGATAGCATCGTATTCGGGGAATAATTGCAAAACTTTGTACAGATAAGGGTTGGAAAAATATTAAGATTAGGGTGAAATAAATGTTCATCAAGATATCGTATATCTATTTTCCAAAAATAAAATTTGTCAGAATTAACCCAACTTTCAATCCTGGAAGGGGTAGATATAAAAAATTACAATTCACTGCCCTGAAAAGAACCCCATGAATTGAAATAAATCAACGTAATTTATTGAAGAATCTAAAACGCATTCACGAATAAAATTGCTGCGATTAAATAAAAGTTGATAGAAGCAAGTATCTATGATTTCCTTTTCTATCCTCTCATTATTATCGATCGCAACATTTCAAATCATCCACCCTTAAATCTTCGAATAAATCATCTCCCTGCACGAGAACCCCGTATCCAAGCCATTCCTACCATCGTGCACATTTTACGCGTACTTTCATCCATTTAATATTTCCAGGCCGCGTTTCGCGCATATGTCTCGCCGCTTGCATTTCCTTTTCTCGGAATCTTCGTGGGGTCCGTCGAACGACCTCGGGACCGTTTCAGCTACGTTACTGCACATCGCGTATATATATTATAGGAAACGCATATCCGAACCCATTCACGCACGAAAGGTCGTTGTCTCAGACCAACGCGCATACACCGAGTTTTTCCCCCCTCGTTTACGTTTCTCTTTTTTTTCCCCCCTTTCTTTCTTTCCACCCGTTTTCTTCGCCTCTCGTTCCACCCTCAACTTCCATTCCCGGAGATTACGTCAGTCTCGACCTCAGTCTCGTCTGGCAACATTCGTAAAGATGTCCTTTCGCACCGTTTCAACTCTCTGCCTCGCACCTCTTTCCACCGACACCCCCCGGTGGCAAGCCTAATCGCGCGGAAATATACAGTGGAAGAACAATTTGGTTCAACTGTTGGAATCAGTTTTATGGCTTTAAAGACGAACGACCGAGAGACGCTTAAAGTAACGAGATTAGAGGAGAATCACCGGAAGAGATTATTCGCATCTTATGCAATTTGCAATCTTCCGCATCTGGCAATGCAACCTGAAGAATAATATCTATTTTATGGACGATCGGAGTGCTTTCCGTTGTTAAGTTAATTTAATAACTTAAATGACGGGTAAATTTTCTCTGGGGTGGAATTTTTGTTGCGGTTGTTGTAGTTAGTGATAGGGGTGTACGAGAACCCCAAAATATCGGGTTCTCAAAAATGTCGGGTACCCGATACCCGAATCGAGTTCAGTATTATTTTAATTAACCCAAAGTGAATTAGATACCTACAGATTTTGTAAACACTTCCAATTTACCGTCAGATTCAGTGAAATTCTCCAAATTTCAGGAATTCCGAATCGACTGAAATAATACCCGACCCGATCCAATTACCGGGTACCCGAAATTTTCTGGTTCTCTGATTCTCTAGTAACGGCTCTTTGCACACCTCTGGTAAATGAAGTACTTTGAATTGTTATTTTCCTTTATCGAACTACATCAGGGAATTTCTGTATTCAAATTTTTTCGACAAACTGAAAACCACTCTTTTATCGGAATTTTTCAGTTCGGCAGCTTTGAAATTTGAAATTTACCGAAAGGAAAAAAAATTGTTAAAAAATGTTTCAACAGAGTAGCAGACGTTTTAAATTCACCAACGTTTCAACGCTCACTAATGAATTCTTTTTTAATTCATCAATATTTTTTTTTAAATGCACTCTTCGCTGCCGTACGACGGAACATTATGATAATTTATTTGCTTTGAAGTCGACGTGCGATTCGGTTAACATTGATTAACAGAATCTTCTGTAATTTTGAAACAGTAACGAACCTCCAATTAAAATTGTCGCAGAAATTGCGTAATTTAAAAATACCACGGTGGGACGATACTCGATACCCAATTAATACACGATATAATTGGTAATCAATCTACTAGTTGGAATCGAAAAATTGTTAACAGATTGGCTATCATGGTGACTGACCTTTCGAATGTGATATAGAGTAGTAATTAAGGAAAAAGGAGAAGAAAAATTTGGAATAACAATAATATTATTACCTTAAATTTGAAAATTAATCTTATGGTTTAATCTTTTATACTCTCTGATCTGATCCGATATTTTAAGATTCTCAAACACTTTTAATTATTTGATAATTTGAAAGCCTAAATTTATAAATGATTTCCTCTATTACACAATTTTTTATCCTGTTATTCAAGAAAGTGAAAATAATATTTCTGGAGTGATCTAATATCTGCATATGGACGATCACAGTTTTTTCTCTTATCATCAATATTATCTGTCGATGGAATCGGGTCGTCCAGCAAACAGGATAAACGAGGCAGTTTTCTTCCGTCCGATCGAGGGAACTAATTCAATTTGGAAGGGTAATATCTGGAGAGCGTCAGAGGCATTATCGCATTTTTCTTCGCGAATGAAA